GCTGAGCAGTGTTCCATGATTTATCCAACAATAATAAAACAATAAATTGGCAACAATTCAGCAGCTCAAGCTCTAATCAGATGTTAAGGAAAAAAGATGAGTTTTAACACCATTTAAGTGTTTTTTTTTTTTTTTTTTGGTCTGAGCTCTGCTTACCTATTGACATAAGGTATTCCACAATCTCTGCAGTCACAGCACTTGCTCTGAATTCACCCAAAAAATTGCAAAACTTTAAAAAAAAATTTAAAAAATAATTATTTATTTAGCTATTAAAATAATTGTACCACATTTTGGGACTTGCTAGCCATTTGCTTTATGTAAACATTCCAATATTGTTTTTTCCATTACCATAAATTGTTTCTTAAACTTTGTTTTTAACAACTATTTCAAATTTTGAATCCTCACTAGATACAAAGAATCTATATTTAATAAGATACATGGTTCGGTAGGAAAGACAGGTTAAAATGCTTTGCTATAACAAACCAGTTTGTAATGCCTGGTTAATGACTTGACATGGACATATGTTCAAATAAATACCTAAGAGTTTGTAAGAATAAATATTTACTGTGTAAAAATGTAAATGTACACAATTTTCATCTCTAGATTTACACTACTCTACTTTTATTTCCCAAACAAGTCTTAAAATAACTCTATCCCTTCTATCCTACTGTCATTTCCTCTCTCCAAACCTGCTTCTCCTCACAGTGGACATCAGACAAGGACCTCACAAGCTTGGCCCTGCGACTCGGTGTTAAAGACATAGCAGACATCAGATTTGCTGAAAATAAAGTTAATGGCCAGTCAAGAGGGTGAATATAAAAAAATAAAAAAACATACATTTTAATAATTATGGAGAAAACATTACAAATGTAAGATTTTGTGAAGTTGCATGTTTCTAATTCAGCATTACTCACCTTATTGTTTTCCCGTGTTCCAGCTATGCAGAGGTGGTGGTAACCACAGAAGATTCATTAAAAATATTGCTGGAAAAAATGCCACTATGCCATATTAACGGAGAAAAGATAGATTGTCGCTTTGCCACTCAACAGAACCTCTCTGTGTTTGAAGACATTGCAAACCAACGTAAGATCTGCAGAAGCAAATCCAGATAATGCATACCTAATTTCAGCATGACTGTTGACTTTTTAACAGAACGTGTTTTTCACAGGCATACCCGTACGTGCTGGTTCGGGTTCTAAGGACTTGGATTTAGCGGAAAAAACTCCCACTGCACTATCGTCACAAGACTCCAGTGCTCTCCCTGCTCCTCCAACAGTTTTCCCATCACATCCGTTTGGAAACATGTTTCCTTCACCACCCAGTTTTCTCGGACAGCCGCCTCCTCTGTTTCCACACATGGCACCACCGGTCCCTCCCCTCATGCCACCTCATATGTTTCCTCCACATCCTGCGCAAATCCCTGGCCAGCCTTCTCCGGGTCTCCATCTAAATCCTCCTTTCTTCAACCTGACACAAGACGGGCACAGCAGCAAGTCGTATAGAGAACAAAAGTGAGCGAGGGAGCGAGCGAGTCCTTTTCAAAGCTTAAAGTAACAAATAATAGTCTAAGGAATACCATAAATGTATAATTGGTTTAATTCAATGATGTAATATGAGTTAAAAATGACCTTGTTTTTCCAGACAAACATCTCAAAGTGAAGATGGAGATTTTGAGGAAATGATGAACAGAAACAGAGCAATTGCCAGTAGCGCAATCACCAAGGCTATTTCAGGAGCTACAGCTGGTAAGAACAGATGGTCAAATTGAGAAGTAAAATGCAAAGAAATCTTAAAAGTATTGAAAGCCATTTTTGGGCAAAAAAAACATTTCCAACTGTTAATGAAATGCACTCATTTTGATAAACCTTGGATGTCTTTTCAATTTAACAACCACCTCCAGTGTTTCCACTAAAATATTTCTTTAGTAGACATTTTTCTAGGTAAGCTTCAAAATTACAATAAAGAAGACTGAGGGATCACATTCTCAAAAGGTGTTTCTTTGTCTTGAGCAAACTCCATATGCATGTCTCTCTTAATTTCAAAGCTAATCCAGAATTTAGGACTAGTCTTGATTGAATCCATTTAAATTTGATTTATTTTTATAATGGAAATTCAAAACAAAATATGGTCTAAAGAGAGTTTAATAATACAAGTCAATTCAGTCCAGTCATACAGATAGATCCAGTCAATTTCATGCATTTCAACTTGATCCTAGTTCTAAGGAAACCCAGCCAATTCCATTGAGCTTTTAAGTTTGCAGCAATTTTTCATACAGAGCATGCACATAGTAACAGTGGAAAGGAAAACTCTCCTTCAACAGGCAGAACCTGACACAGCGTGAGCAGCCATCTGCTTTGACTGGAGTTTTGAAAAGATAAGGTATTTACTCATAAGAAGCACTTATCCAGGAAAAGTTTCTGTCAAAAAAGAAAAAAAAAAAAGGTTATTTGCAGCAGTGGCTTCATTTTGGACAGTTTGTTCCTGGTACATGGAGCCTTTTTGTAACACTTTGGAAATACAGAGATATGTTTACAGCAGCACTGAATATGACATTTTAATAAACCTAATACTCTTAACCTTTCTTCTTTGTGTCACTGTAGGAAACCTGAATACAGCCATGGAAACACTATTAAGTGCTATTGCCATCATTAAGCAGTCTAGAGTGTGCAGAGATAAAAGCTGTCAAGCACTTGTCACCTCACTCAAAGACTGCTTAGTCTCAATCCAAGGAGACTATGGCTGCAAGTGTGTATTTATATTTCTATTAGCAACTTTTTCCTAATAGCAGCCATTCTATTCTCTCAGTCCTTATCAACCAATTCACTTCACTTTTCAGGCCAAGCCGTCATTCCAGAGAAAGAGAAAGGGACAGAGGACGTGAGAGAGACCATGAGCGTGACAGGGAGCGTGACAGAGAACGGTACAGAGAACGAGACCGAGGCGACGCTTACGACAGGGAAAGCACAGGAGGATCTCGAAGATACAGAGAACGTTCCTGGAGCGAAGAGAAGGACAGGGAGCGTTCACGAGAGCGAGAACGACATAGAGATCACAGAGACCGATACCGCTAAATTGGTAAGCTTTTCACAATTCAATAACTTTCTGGATTTATTGGTTTGATTACCTCTGTAGAGTGGATGGCTGCTTACCAACGTTTGGTGTAAATTGCAACCTTAGAAATATGTTTATTTTGGAAATTGGTGATGTTTAATACAAAATATTATGACTGCAGGGACTGTACAAGAATGAGATAAGCAAAATTAAAACTCAAAAGGAAAGGGACTATTGGTCTTTTTAACAGTGCTGAGTTGAAGTCTACCATTTTGATAATCTTAAGACCGCATCAGTGCTAACGTAACTGGGAATCTGTATCTTTGGAAAGGCAACATGAATACTTCAAGGTTTATACTGGATTTAGTGAAAATATCTCCATTCAGTCAGTGTCCTTTTCAGGGAAATTATTCTGTATTTCTTTAAGATGATGTTCGACATTTATTACAAGATTATTTGGTGTGGTATGGTCTGCAATCCAGACCTTTCCCATCCAATAAACGCTTGAAACACCAAACCTCAAGACTGTTGATGAGCTAGAATTCTTTTTATAGTTTCACATGAGTAAATATTAATTTCCAAAGGTCAAGCAGCCTCACTTCTTAGCTGTTTACTGAGAACTGTTGCTGCTAAAAAATAAAAAAATAAAAAGAGTGCTGAAATTTTAAAGTTCTGTGTTTAAGGGTTTTGGAGATTTATTGCTGCTATTAACATTTTGTGTTGGACTGCAAAATATCTCACATATTCTATCATGGATATTTCCTACATGCAATATATTTTGTGATTTATTGAATTGTTACTCCAGAAGCATGACTTTATTTAGAAAGACTGGCCTACTTGACTTTATTATAGCTAACAGCACTTCAAATTTCAGAGTTGCAGGTTTAACATGTAACATTGATTTCAGACACACTATTATGAGGTCCTTTAAATGATTCCACCATATCTTACTATTGTTGATGTGAGGAGAAGCCACATTGAAATGTGGCCATACAGGTCATAACTGGAGGTGGTCTCTGTTGCTTCCACTTTCCTAGTGGGATATCCAACACAGAGCGTTCCAGTTTTTTCCAGACTAGGAGGTTTGAATTTTCAACCAGCATAAGAACCATTCCTCTTGTAACAATTAAATATTTTGGACGGAGTATGGATATGTTTGTTTTTCATTTACCTGTATCAAAAATGGTTAGCCTTTGCAAGTGCTGTTGGAATTCTCCAAGAACATTTTTGTCAGCTCGCAGTTGATAGAATTAAGGTCACCCAACTAGTTTTAGTACACATGGCCATTATCCAGATTTAGCACATGTGGAAGTTCACAGAATTTATGAAAAGACTTGACATCTTTATATTTGTGTATTACTTTCAATCTGTATTTGAAATTTAACTATGTCTTTGCAATGCTTCCCTATTCCCCACTCTCTCTCCTCTCTAGGGTGATTTTGACTGAAGCAGAAAAGGAGAGGCATTTTGTTTTTGCACCAAGCTGTATAAACATCACAAGGAATCTGAACTTAAGTGTGAAATGTAAATTTTTTCCTGTAATACATTCATTGTATAACTTTGTTTAACCAAAAGGCCTGTAAAATTTTTTTATGTATAATAGAAACATTTGCATGCAGTGAACACCTGTTAAGTTTGTTTTCTTCCCTTTTTGTATAAACTCTACAAATTGAAAAAAAAAAAACTAGAAACCTGTGTTTTGTGAATCTTATTAAAAGTACCCAAAGGATCACCATTTGTGTGTTTTTAATTTACTTGGTTGACATTAGACCACCATTTAACCTTTAAAAAGCATCAGAAATATTTACCCAGTTTTTAAACACTTTGTAGATCATGTACACAAGTTTAACTAGTGGTTTAATGTTGCTTGATTAAAAACATTTATATTGACTCACCTCAAAATGTTAGTTTTGTTCTTATTGCTGCAGTGTGACAAGTCAAGATGATAAAGACTTTTTAAATTACTTTATTTAAAAAAAGAAAAACATAACTGAATAGCCATTAAACAATTCCACACCCAAAACCAGACCCTCCACAGTCCTTAAAGTTCTTGGAGTTATTTTTCAAGCGGCGCATAATTCAGCAATTTCTCAATAAGATCCACATGAGACAGCAGCATCCTTCGACAACAGTACCGCTTCAGGCCCAGGGCATCAAGTGCATCACTTAGAAAAAGAAAAAAAAAAAGGAGAGAAATAACATCAGTTATAATTACCAGTTATACCTGGTAAATATCAGTGGGTACAATATTACCATTTAAATATTTGTATTATTTCCCATGTTGCATCATATACCAGAAACGTGTCTCAAAATTGAAGATTTAGTGCAGGCAGTAATGAAAAGATGTCTCACCCCTCAGTGTATTCTGCTTGAAGTAAGCCAAGGTAAGCTTCCCATTTGTTGCCCACAATCTTCCCACAAGTGAAGCACCTGACCGGGATAATCATTGTTGTGATTACCTGAAAACAGATACAACATCCCGCTATTATACCAAAGTTTGCAATAATAATAATAAACATATGTTTATGCGTAATTTTCAATAAAAATCGTGCACGTTTATAATATTGTTTCGAAAACTACAATGAACAATGCAAAAATAATTTAAAAAGTGACTCCTGAAACTAGGTGATCCTTGCGACTCAAGTGCGTGTTGCTAACATGTTGTTTTGCTACCATAGCTTAACAACTACTGCTAGCCCACAAGCAATACCACAAAAACATACAAGTATAAATACAAAGATAGGAATCTCCTTAAAAGTTCTGAAAATATGTTCTAATGTTATGCAAGATATAACTTGGACAAGTAAAATCAATGCTTTAAGCTAATGTTAGCCTACCACGAGTAGTTGTGCGAAATGTATTGACTTCCGCCAATAGCTTGTGCAGAAAACAAATTTTATGCACAATCTATTGTGCATAAAGACACATACACAGTCTTGTTCCACTTTATCACTCACCGTAACCAAATATGGCAGAGAATCAACCAGAAAATCACAACAAAAGGTCGATTTTTCTAGGAGAAATGGAGTCCAGCACGTTAGCTCCTCCGTTTGCCCCTGACTTTGTAACAACTTCCGGTTCAGATTCTTCTACGATAAAAGCACAAATATTCGTCAGTAAAAACACGACATAGTCGGGCGAGTTTCCGGAAGGATGACAGAAGAATACGTTACTAGATAATATACTACATTTTATATATAATGGCATGGCATTATATAGTCACACATGTTTAGCCCAAAAATAGTTTGCATTCTTTTTTTATTCATTCCTGGTTAGAGAATTTTTTGCCCTCCTTGGATTTGCTGTTGGGCATAATGTTGACATGAAGAAGGCCTTAACACAGCTGACAAAACATAAGGAAAAAAAGAACAAAAGTAATCACTTTTCCTGGTTCACCGCCTTTAATAATGTAGATTTTCAAATTATTTTCTTTACAATTAAATGGTTGAGAGCAGAGGGGAGGGTGCATAAGGAAGTTATGTTAAAGTATATAAAAATATATATATATATCATATCCATCAGTATCATCATTAAAGTCACCATGATAAATATCATCACTATCATAGCCATCAGTAACACCATACATTATTACATCATCTATGTATTTTAATCTGCTACAGCACATATGCTAAATGAGGACTCCTACTTGAATTATTGCATTTATACGCTTTTGAAATTATGAAAACAGGAATTTTCTTCTTCTACTACTTTTTTTTAAATACACTGTATAGTACAATGTAAGGTGACATTTTTGTACTGGCATACTATTTTTTTTTTATCATAATAGGGAAGTTGTGAATGTTTATGAATAACTTTTTCTCTAAACTGTGTTTAATTTATTTAAATTAAAGACCACCAGTGTGTGTATGTGTATGAGAAATATCTTTCTACTTTATAGTCAGTCAACTTGAGTTTTGCAGTGCAAGCAGAAATTACTGTGAACATCTGTACAGATGAATTTGTGCAGCAACAACCGTGTGTGTTTTTTCTCTTCCTGTGAGTGAATTACGAGAGCAAATATACACATAACTTTTATGCTCATGTAAATGTAAGATGCTTTTATGTCACCAATATTGTTTGTGCGTTTAACAACACAAGATGAGCAGAGGAAAGACATAAACAACTGATGTTTTGACAGCAGTCTTTCAGTCTAACATAACCCACATATACTACAGTGTCAAATGTTAGATGTAAACAAAGTAAAATGTCAAAAATGTTTTTGCTTGAAAATATGTGAAAGATTATAAGTTTGTGATATTATTTGACAAGAAAAAAATATATATATATTCTTTATTCTACACCCAAAAAAATATTTGATTCCATTTTCAGTCCTTTGCCGTCTTTATCATTACCCATGTCATGATTGTATGTTCTGATTGTAAAAAAAATAAAAGTAAAAAAAAAAATAGTTAAGTGATTTTAGATCTCTGAACATTAACACAGACTGTATTTTTGCTGAACTTAGTGAAGACTTCTCAGCCCAGGAAAGGCATCTGTAATAACAGAGAATCAACCAAATTCTGGGTAAAAAAAAAAACAACAACTAACGTCTTTACCTCAACATGAAATTGTTTTTGTTTTTTTTTATCTCTGTTAGCACATACTTTACATATTAGATGCACTTTGCTTGTTTCCAGCCCAAAACAGATCAAAATCTATACTGTCAGCTTCTGTTTCCAAGCCCACATGGTCACATCAAAGGTAAACTTTCACTAGAGCAGACTTTTACAGACTCAAATTAATCTCAATCTTTATGATTCACTATCTACCTTGTATGTAGTTTATTTGGCCAAACCTTTCAGAACATTCTCCTTTCACCAACTCATTTACTTTGAAATCATAGAACTCAGACAGTCCGGGGACATTATTGATAGAGAAAATGATTTTTCCCCCCATGACTTTTAAGCAAAATAAATTGCAAGAATGCATAAATATCGAAAAGCTATCAATATTTATACAAACTGGAAAAAAGTATTAGATTAAACCACATTTAAAGAGTTGTGGCGGCTATGTAATGCAGTGTAGTTTTTTTTTTCTTTTTAAAAAATGTTCTAATTACATTTTATATGCAGTATTGTAGCAACTTCATGCATATAATAAGTATAGTTATGCTCCATATAAAGCCTTGATCAAACGTTACATAGGCTGATGCACTACACATGAAAGCAGGCCAAAAAAAAAAAAAAAACCCTAAATAAGACAGATAAAATAAGAAAATACACACAGACTGCTGTGTCTCCCCATCGCTCATCAAACCAGAGAAGTCAGTGAACCAGTCAACAATATTCTTATCTTAATTTGGTTTTAATTTCTCCTTGCCAGCAGCAGAACTCCCAGCAAAATGGCTCCTGCGGCGATAATGGCACCGCCAATAAGAAAAGGCTTGAGATGTTCCACAGAGTCTGAACCAGAGGCCTTGTCACCCGCTGCTGACTCAGCTTCTGCTGCTCCATCTTGAACGGAGGAGAAGTGGGGATTCTCGGGCTCAGGGGCCGCAGGGGCATGATCAGCCTTGCGTGGTGCTGCTGGCTCCTTCTTGTCCGCTTTGGATGCTGCCTTGGGTGCTGGAGCCCCTGCCTTGGCTTTGGCTTCCATGGATTCAGGGACACAGGTGTGGTGTGGTCCGGTCAGTAAGAGTCTTTACAAGGTCAGCTTTGAGCTGCTTCACTGGCAAAAAACAGCAAACAGACAGATTATCCTTTCCAATTAGCCCCCGTCATCATGTTATGTGCTCTGATGCGAGTGGTTAGAATGAAATATGTATGAGGCCCTGATAGCCATGTGTGAGCCTGGAATGTGACCTTGGGAAAAATGGCATTGATGGGACTGCTTCAATGCCCACAGCAACATGAAAATGTTTATATTGGCCACAGCTGCTGTAACATAACTACCCTCTAAAACGGCGATCGCATTCAGAGCTCCTACATGTCTTAAGATTTTTTTTTTCTTTGGTTAAATTCAGCAGTCATGTAATTTAGTAATGAAGGCAGGAGTGACAGTGCTAAGAGATGTACACCTAAATGAATCCTTGTTCTGTTGACCCTGACATGAGCAAGATGAAAAGCATTTAATATATTTCACTGTCTTGCCCTCGGTCTGACTGTAAAACCTAATGAGTCATATGTGCTATAAATGGATACCAAGATGGAGGAGAGCATCCACCGATGGAGAGAGAAATGAATGAAAAGCAAATCAGAGGAAATGGAGAGAAATAAATCAGGTCGAGAGAGATTGCATCACAACAGTTTGAGTTTCACAAAATGCAGGCTAGTAGCATCCTAACAAAAAAAAAAACAAAAAAATGGCTCCTGTTCTGAATACTGCTGTGATACGCTCCAAGAGGAAAATGGATGCACTTACCTTTCAAACAGTTAGGTTGAGATTATAAGAATAAATGGATGGATGAAGAGGCAGAGCTCTGGAAGTTAAGATGTCCTTAATACAGGAAAACGAGCAACACCAGAGAGATGGAGGACACTGAAAGCAAGAGGGAGGGCAATGGGAGGAGAGCTGGATAGACTGGGATGTACCATCTGGTTGCTCAAAACAGGGGAGCGGGACTGACATGGTTAATTAAAAAAAAAAAAAAAACTTTATGGCAATGAGTATTATTTCTACCTATGAAATTAGGTGGATCTCACATATTAAGCACATTTCACATATGAAAAATTAAAACAAGACGACAGACAGACAGACAGACAGACAGACAGACAGATAGATAGATAGATAGATAGATAGATAGATAGATAGATAGATAGATAGATAGATAGATAGATAGATAGATAGATAGATAGATGGATAGATAGATAGTGTTGGAAAAAAAGAATAGATAAGTGATGTTGAACAAATTCCCATCACATTTCTGCTTTCTTCTTTTATATCTGTAATAACTCAGTTGAATGTGTGTGTTGTTGCCTTTGATGTTGCTGCTATCTTCCTACTGAGATACAAAGAATCCTTCTATTCTGTATTATTTTCTAATCACGCACTTTGGTGGGTATATTGTTAAAATCTGTTGTCCTGACTAGTCAGATGTGACAGTCTCTAGATGGAGCACATCGGGCTCGCTGTGAATCAGCACCAAGGAAATGTTTACTTTAGTCTTTAGTAATTTACTGTAGCCTAATTCCCAAACACAAAGTATATTGCATGATTTCACATGCCTTTGTTTCTAAAAACGTTGTTTTTACGTAAAAACGTTTCCACGTTGATTTTACGCAAAAAGAAAAATCAGTTTTATAAATTGATTTTCACATCACAGTTGGTATCCTTCCTGCATCGCTATGTCGTCACTGTGGAAACGACAAACGCTGAAAAACACCGCCATAGGTCATGAGCATGCGCAGAACCTTAAAAGGACGGGTTTGTTCCAGAAGTCTGTCTTCTTCTTTTTTATTTTTTTTTTAAAGCAATTTACTGTCATATTTTTAATCATATCCTTCAGGAAAGACAGCTTGCTTTCTGACAAAAGAACAGAAAAACAACACACGTTGTCGGATCTTCCATAGGGTTTTCTGGATGACATCACAGAGGGGAGCGGCAATCCCTCAACACACACTACTCTATTTGAACCAGTTCCCTGGTATCCACAAACCACTGGTGTCGCCATTTCTCCGCAAGATTCCCAAACTGCCCACAGCGAACGGTTCATAAAGCTAAACGTAAACTAGCCATTCACGGCGTTTACGCAGCTCTCCGCAGACGGGGAATAGCAAGTTAGTACGTATATTTCGGTGGGGAATATCTCAGGGGATGGGCTTGATTGTCGGAATAAGGCTGCCTCCGTTTTAGTCCGTGACAAGATTCGGGAGTTGTCCGGCTGATGGCACACTCAAGCCACTAAACTACACCACAAAACCCCGGAGAAGAGCTCGTCCTGGTCGTGAAAAAAACCAAGGGATTTTCTATCTTCCATCAAGCAGGAATCATCATGCCGAGCGTTGACGAAAGGGAATGGGAAATGATCCACGCTGCTCCATGAAGAGCCGCAGCCGTGTTGCAAATCAGGCGGAGGACCGAGCTGTCAGTTCCGAACGCCGTCGACGCGGTTGTGTAATTAATTTGGCTGCTGGATGGTATGTGTCGGGTCTACCTGGCACCCGGTAGATAACCGAGGAGGCTCCGGGGCTTTGATGTGTTGGGGGTCCATTCATGCAATGACGTCTGCATGGTTATTTTATATCAAACGGTGAGACATTTCAAAATTCACCCTGCCTGACCGGTGATCCGGTGTGCGAACGAGCAGGACTGTCGGAAGGATATGGGAAAGAGAGCGGAACCGATGCAGTGGGTCTCGGCTAGGCATCGTCAAAACACAGGTGAGCGGCAGTAACACGATGACGATACTGAGCATTGTTGCGCTGCCTCTAGCTATATACACACACGCACACACACACACACAAGGCAGCACAGCAAGTAGTGTGACCCAGCTTTCAAACCGAGTTTCATGGCTGGTTGGAACACATTTCTGTGCTCTTCTCCATGCCCTGCTGAATAGACTACAATGGACACTGATTCACAAAGATCGACTTGTTGGATTTACACATAAAAATGCTGCTGCACCCCAGAGCTGCAGTTAACCATAAGCGCATTCTTTAATTGTTTAAGTTGTAAAAGATACTGAAACATCAGCAGACCCACACCCGCCGCTTATTTACAGCAAAACTTTAGCCTAGCTTAAAGTTTGTTCAGAACTGGTTAAGCAAGGGATGTTATTCCAACCTGGATCTGTAAAAAGATCCCATCTTTTTGCAACTTGTGTAGAGAATGTGTGGTCATTTCCCTGACAGATTGTTCATGTATGTCTCCCATGCAGTGTTGGAGCATAGATGAGATCAATTGATTTTAGAGATGCACCAATCAAAAACGCTAATTTTCCTTGGATCAGTTCCCTTTGATGATTGGGAGGTTTCAGTTTATAAAATTGTAAGTCTTCTCTTCAGATTACAAAAGTGACACAACATACACATACAGTTTCATAAAAACAAGATATGAGGGTCATTTACTTTGATGTATAAATGAAAAAAAAAGTAAATTCTTTTTCTTTTCTCTTGAAATCAAATTACTATGTCCCACAATAAAACCCGTAGCAGATGGCTTTGAAGTGTTAGTTCTTAGAATTAAAAACCTGTAATTAGCAGGTCAGACCTCAAAATTAACCCAGTTAACTCTCTTTATCAATCTACTAGTTGAATTTACTGGTGTTGCTTTACACAGAGAGCTTATGTTATATTTTTGGTTGTGGAAGCATGCAGTGATATAGGACTGAATACATACAGTCCGCACAATTTATATCGTATCAGTGTAAGGGAAGAAGGCATATATTCTTGCTTTGTCAGTTTCTGACAAGGGGATATTTCAGATGCCACTTCCTCTTGTGCCGCAAACCAGCTCCCACTTCTCACTAGTGGCTCATTAAAAGTGACGAACCGTGGCTTTCACAGTTAAGCAATCTCCATCCAAATGGCGCGATTCCTGAGGAACGCTGCTGCCTCACCAATACCACCAGTGAGGCAGGCAGGTCACAGTTGGAACTGGTGACTTTATAAGCTCCAACTAAAGCAATCTTCCTAACTTTATTAAGTTCAACACACATGAAAAAATGTGGGTTCAGCTCAGCGCACAACCGCTCATCCAGTTCACTGGCAACAAATTCACTAGTTATCTGCAGAGCAGAGAATAACATACACAAATAACATACTGAATGCAAGCCTTCAATACGAATGTTGTGCAAGTGTTTGTGTACGGGGAGAAAATGGGAACAACCAGGTTCAACTAAAACAGGCTGCACTTTCTGTAGTAAAATGGCCGGAGCACAAACAGTAAACAACAACAAACCCCAAAACAATTTGAGGATGGATCTGAAAAAAATCTGTCTGTGTATTCTCAAAAGTTATAGTCATTATAATTTTGATTTTTTTCTGTTTTACACAGCTGTAGTTAAAAGACTTGATCTCGAAGATTTTCTCATTCCCCATAGCCCTCTCGGAACACGCTTTCTACTCCCAGCAGCAGAATGTTTGGAGCCAAACTGAGACTATTAACCAGGTTCATTATTTACAGTTACAAACCTGAAAATTGCGTATGAATCAGGATTAATGCAGCGTATTATAACTTTTTTTTTTATGGCATCACTTTGTTGAAAAGGGAAAAGTTTAAAATCAAGTAACACCTGAATGTCCTCTTTGCGGAACAATAAAAGCTGTTTCTATTTTACTGAATTGTATTGTATTCTATTTTAACTGACAATGAATTGGATTTGATTGGATTCCTCCACTATAGCGCCAGCTCAGTCTCAGGCAAAAAAAAAAAACAACAAAAAAAAAAAAAACATCTCTAGCTCAGCTAGAATATCTTCAATCAGTAAACGAAATGTCGACTGATCATTATGGGTGATGACAACATTTTGTAGAATTCCTTGCAATTATTATAAAAGTCAAAATAAAAAGCATTTTAAAATCATCACTTGTTTTGGGCTATATGCCTTTGTCTGAATATAATCAGAGCCTCAAACAAGCACTTCTCCAAAAATCCACTCAGCTACAGTAAAAAGGTTACTTCACTTCAAAAGTATACGATATTTGCATACTTTTAACTGTAAAAGTATTTGCATACTTTTAACAGTAAAAGTAATGATTCAAATTATTTTCAGCTTTTGGGTTATTAAACAGCAAAATCTGGTTCACTGTTAATATAATTGAAAGACTATTAAAAAATCAACAACTATTATTTAATCAGAATCACTGTTATTTGATGTGATCCTGGTGGTAATTACACAGAAAGAAACATAGGTCGGTCACTTCACACAGTTATGTTGTATAAGGAAGTCATTTGCTATTTTAAATTACGTCAAAAATTGTTGCATAAAATATTACTTAATTTCTGTGTATACTTGGGGCTTTTTCTCTGAATACCTTGAAAACCCTGACGGCCCGCCACTGCTCATTAATTTAATCTGATTTAACAGGACCAAGCTCGGGTTTTTGTCTTCTCGGCTAATTAAAGACTGATCCTGCTCTGAAGACGAGGTAGCAGGCAGTAGATCAGCCATTCAAGTGGTTCTTTTGTGTTTGCTGCTTAAACAAATGCAAAGAAATCATGGCTCATTTGTTCTTCTCGGGAGCCCCCTTAACTCTGAGCAGGTGTATAGTTGAGTGTGTGAAGTCGTGTTTCATCCATAGATCAGAGATTAATAATTTTTTTAGATCAATAAGTAGGTCAGTAAGCACAGGTGTAATGCAACTAAATATACTACCGTTGCATAACAACTGATTAGTAAAGCTGTAACTCACCAGGCTGCAGTCAGTGCTTTAAACGGAAGCCATTTGAAATTTCTGTTGAGTTGTAAACTAAAATACAAGAATTAATACATTTTACCTTCAGTCATCACTATTGCTTTTCAGGTTTTCTTGAAGGTTTTTGCATTTTTGTCCTTTCTTACCTTACATGACTTTGATGGGGAATATCTTAGACCATGTAGACAATATTGGAATGGTTTTAAACATTAAATATAAAGGCGGTATTGAACATTGATTCCAACAGGAAATTTGTATCTTTAATCATTTTTGTTGCTGGAATATAAACATACCATGTTCATGAGTTTGTAGGTAAGTAGTTTCCATACGGCTCAGGGATTGAGTACTGCATAGGCTAACTCGACTTTATCATTTACTAATGAAATGAAACCTTAGTTTGCTCTACTAAATGAGAGAAACAGATGGCGTTATTCACACTCTGCCAAAACGTTTTGGGGGAAAGAAATGCTATCGGCAATCATGTGACGTCATTGATCTCGAATAGAATTTCTCCAAGTGGGCAGATGCGACTAATCTTGCACAAAACCATCAACTTTCTTTTATTAGTCTCAACAGAAAAGCCTGTTTGTGTTAAATCCAAGTCTGTACTCTTGACTTGGCCCTTCTTTTTTTTTTCCTGAGAGGAATTTGTTTTGATGATTTAAGCTAATTGTCTGTCCTAATTTTTCCCAGTTGATACCTGAAGTTCAGGGGCCAAAAATGTTTAATATTTAGAGTATTTCACATTTTCAATCAGAACTTGTTGGAAATTTGTGCAGTCTCTTTCTTGTCAGTTTCCCTGACCAGCTTTTTTTTATTGTGTTTCCATAATTTCTCTAATTATTGACGACTTAGTTCAGCACGTCTATGGATAATGTGCATTTTTTGGGCGTTTTTCTTTGTGCAATTTATTATTATTGTTTTTTACCCCTTTGTAGCATCCTTGCTACTAGCTATGGCTTTAACCAAGGGATGCAGATTTTAGGAAAATCTGACCTAAAATTTGAATAGAAATCTGTACTCTTTTCAAAGACACTGCAAACTGCATTTCATGCTTTCCCTATAATGACCCAAACGAACCAAATTTTTAAAAATCTGCGGTAGGGTACAGAGGTGAGAGAACAGAAACAGTGTGCATCTCAGACAAGAGAAACATATTCACAAGCAATTACAAGCAATAAAATGCACACATTTGCGTTAGTTAAAAATCATCTGTTATATCCCATTAGTTTGCATTTCTGTACTCTTTTACTTGCATTTCTTTTGAATACGATGAATGGGTGAGACTCTGGAAAGTAGACATGCAGTAGTTGTCCGTGTCAAGGTATGCCAATGTTTTAAAAAGTTTTGGCTCCAAGTATGACACAATTTGTTATCATTCCACACCTAGGCTTTAAATTGCCAGATTTTATTAAAATACCACAGAAAGTGGAGGAGTCACCTGGGTTTTTAATTTTATTTTTTATTTTTAAAGGTATTCTAGTTCTTTACCTTTTAAAAAAAAAATCAAATTTCAGGTATATTTTATGGATAAGATTATTAACTTATTACATTTCAATTGGTTGCTGTTTTTGGGAAGATACTGTAAAATTATTGTATTTTTACTCAAGGTTGTCATTCTGTAAGAATTTGATCCCAACTCATGTCTACTGCAAACAAGTAATTACACACTGCTTTTTAGTGATGATGCACACATAGCTTTTTTTTCCAAACTGGTGTCTTTAGCTTGTCTGCATATCACAATCTGTAAATTGCAGAAATCTGTGAGCACCTGCATTGAAAAATATCAATAAGACATGAAAAATTCAACACACTGCTGAAAACCTGTAGCTGCAGTGAAGTGTTGCATGGAGGGGGGAAAAAGCTGCATTTTTTTTGTTCTTGGTATTTGACCAGATAAAATCACAAATAAAGCCCTGCATGTTTGTGGGCAGTGTAGCACAGACAGGATGGCAGACCACATATGTTACCATCCTGACGCACAGTCAAATACACGCAAACACAACATTTATGCATGCACATGC